TAATTTGTGTATTTTTAGTAGAGACGGGGTTTCACCATGTTGGCCAGGCTGGTCTTGAACTCCTGACCTCAGGTGATCCACTCGCCTTGGCCTCCTAGAGTGCTGGGACTACAGGGCATGAGCCACTGAGCCTGGCCGAGAAGTAGTTTTTAAAGGCAGATTGTAAGCTTAATATACTACAAGTTTTAAAAACTGTGTCTAACTGTTTGAAGCAGACAGTTGAAAAAGAGGCTCAGAATTTTTTACACTCATCCGTGTCAGACCTTAAGCACTCTGCCTCTCCTGAAATTGATCTTGAGTGAATATTTGCTGAATAAAGTAACTGCAAGAAACTTCCTGCATAGATCCAGACACACAGAATTTTACAAGACAAAAAAGTAAGCACCTGTAATTCAGGAGACTTACTCAATCTCTTTATTAGTCTCTCCATGCTAATAAAAGTGACTCAATTTAATCACCTGCCTTCTTAAGAGAGACATAATAGTTTTTCTTCTGAACATTTAAAAGCCACCAAACCAAATATAACAGATTTTGAACAAGTTATGTAGGTTTTTTCACAGGTAACAGTGAACACTTTATGGGACCGCATGATTACCTTTCAAAATACCAACTTCAGGCTGGGCGCAAGTGGCTCACACCTGTAATCCCAACACTTTGGGAGACCGAGGTGGGTGGGTCACTTTAGTTCAGGAGTTTGAGACCAGCCTGGCCAACATGGTGAAACCCCGTCTCTACCAAAAATACAAAAATTAGCCAGGCATGGTTGTGCGTGCTTGTAGTCCCAGCTACTCTGGAGGGTGAGGCAGAAGAATCGCTTGAACCCAGGAGACAGAGGTTGTAGTGAGCCGAGATTGCGCCATTGCACTCCAGCCTGGGAGACAGAGTGAGACTCTGTCTAAAAAAGAAAAAAAGAAAACAATACAGACTGATTTCTTTAATACTTCAACTTTTGTATGAATTTTCAGCTGAAATAAGAGGAAATGTACAAAGTTCTTAATAGGATTTATTTAGACTTTTGGGGTATATCATTTTTCCATATATATACCCAATGAATTAGTGTTCTGTCCTCATTGCATTTTGCTCTGGATGGTGGTTTTCAGTCTTAGGAAGGGGAAAGTTGGGGAAGGTCACCAAAAACTCCATCCATAGTTGTAAAATGTCTGTCACAGACATTATAAAATGTCACAGGCTCTCTGTTCCCTATGATTGTCCTCACTGGACCTTACACCAGTCGCCTCTTTGGGCTTCGGATTCTTCTGGCATCTTAGGCTCTTTCTAGCTCTAAAATTCTGAATCTGCTCAGTGTACCATAAATTTTACTATGTAATACTTGCCTACAGAGACAAGATAATGTATTACATTTTAGCAAAATGAATTTCACTGACTAGCACACATTGAGAGGCTGTAGAGCAGATGCCACTTCTGTACTTCCACATTTCCTCATAGTCTTATGTTCCTCTGTTTCATACCAATATGGTAGGCTGTGTCTAGGGTCTGAATGGGGCTCTCTGTGGTATCCATGATGACCTTTTATTTTCTCCACTAAGTGGGATTATATGCAGAGTGGGGTGTAGCTGCATTATGACAGAGAAAAGCAAAGATCCATTTCTCCTAAAGATCCAAGGATCCAGGTGGCTTATGTGCCGGGTGCTGTTGGCAGAGTCCCATCATTCAGCAGCATACAAAGGAAGGTTTTGTGCATTAGCATCTCCTTAGGCAACTTTCAGAAAAAAGATCATGAGGCCAGGCATGGTGGCTCACGCCTGTAATCCCCCACACTTTGGGAGCCTGAGGCGGGCGGATTGCTTGAGCTCAGGTGTTCGAGACCAGCCTGGGCAACATGGAAAAACCCCGTCTCTACAGAAAACACAAAAATTGGCCAGGTGTGGTGGTGAGTGCCTGTGGTCTCAGCTACTCTGGAGGTTGAGGCAGGAGGATCACTGGAGCCTGGGAGGCAGAGGTTGCAGTGAGTCGAGATTGCGTCACTGCACTCCATCCAGCCTGGGCCACAGAGTGAGACCCTGTCTTAAAAAAAGAAAAAGAAAAAGATTATGAGAAGGTAATCCTCAAAGCACAGTTGGCAAAAGCCAGCAGCAAAGATGTGTATGTGAGGGGGCACAATTCACTGCCTGTTCTTCTCTTCTAGTTTTCAGGACTCTACATCCTGTCCTTCACCATCATCATGGTGGGGTTTATCCTGTACTGCTCCACCCCGACTCGCACGGCTGAGCCAGCTGAAAGCAGCGTGCCTCCGGTCACCAGCATTGGGATTGACAACCTGGGGATGAAGCTGGAGGAGAACCTCCAGGAGACCCACTCTGCTGTCTTGTAGCTGGAGAAGACGGCGCACCCATCCCCCACCAGGATAAAGCAGAGCCTGCTGCTTGCTGAAGGGACACTTGGGGAAAAATAGCAGACTCAGAGTGGACACGCTACAACCCTGGGTTGGATCCAGTGGTTAGGTTTTAGAGAGGAACACCAAACAAAGTTCAAAAGTAGAAATACCAAACTAGAGCAGAAACCAAGCTAAGAGTGTGTTTCTGTGTTTGAGGACCAATACCTGTTCGTGTCAGGGAGATGAGGTGCGGACCCCACACCGGGGTCTTAGAGGCACCAGTGGGAAAGCAGGACTAGGGAGAGATCCAGGAGTGAGCCAGCCTCAAGCCAGGGCGGGAAAGCAGGCTGTCCAGGCTGGGCTTGGTGGTCAGGAACAGGGGCAGCTCACGGTGGCTCTGGAGTACGTTTCCTCTGTCAGAGGCTTCGAGGTTTTTTTTGTGTTTTGTTTTTGTTTTTTGTTTTTTGTTTTTTTTTGCTGGGGCAGTTATTGTCCACAGGCCTTTGGGTACAGATGAAGCCTTGGGGCTGACTGCATGTGGCAGAAAACGGGTCGGTCAGCCCTTGAAAACTCCTGAGCTATAAGTGTGAGTACTGTACGAGCATTAAACTGGAGTGCAGTAAACCTAGGAACCCTCCCACAATTGGTTTTTTATTTGTTTGTTTGAGACACAGAGTCTAGAGTGCAGTGGCACAATCTCAGCTCACTGTAACCTCTGCCTCCTGGGTTCAAGTGTGAGTAGCTGGGATTACGAGCATGTGGCCCCACGCCCAGCTAAGTTTTGTATTTTTCAGTAGACATGGGGTTTCACGATGTTGCCCAGGCTGGTCTTGACCTCCTTACCTCAAGTGATCCGCCTGCCCCGACCTCCCAAAGTGCTGGGATTACAGGCATGAGCCACCATGCTTGGCCTGTTTTGTTTGATTTTATAGAGAGGTGGGGTTTCGCCATGTTGCCCAGGCTAGTCTCAAATTCCTGAGCTAAAGCGATCTGCCCACCTCGGCCTCCCAAAGTGCTAGGATTACAGATGTGAGCCACTGTGCCTGGCCTATTTGTTTGTTTGTTTAAAACATTTCTCCATCACTCATTCCAGGTCCCAGAGCCAACTCTCTCTGCTCTCAGAGCCTGTGACACTGGATATGTGTTCCACAGTTTCAGTCTCAGGTCATACTCTCCAACATTTTTCATAGCTCCATATACATGTAGATGCCATCCTTTCTAAAAACTTCTCACGACCTCCTGGAATATTCCTATTGATCTCATTTTATTTAGCATTAGCTCAAGAAACTAAGTCTTAGTGCACATTATCACAACAAAGAAAAAGCTTTGTTTTTATAACTGGTAAAAACAAGAAAAGATTATCATCAAGATATAAATGAAAATATAAAATTAATCATTTCTCTCCGAAGAGTATGCCTGGGAGCCTCCAGTTGTTAGAAGAGGATACTATTACTACTTCTTATCAAAAATTTGTAATGCCTTGTGATTTTTATGATACTTCAATACAAAGTGTTAATATGTATCATCAGTATAATAACCAACAAAATGCCACTTTGAGAAAACTGTTACGTAAATTTTTTTGTAACAGTGTAAGAAAGAAATGGGGAGTAAGTGTTCACATAATTAAAAGGCTTTGAATTCATGGAAATAAATCAACTGTGTGGTTTCTTTGATTAACCAGTTCCCCTTGTGGACTTTTTTTTCCCCAATAAAACCTTCCTTTAAAACCCTTGTGGATTTTTTTTTTTTTGAGACAGTCTCGCTGTGTCGCCTAGGCTAGAGTGCAATGGTGCCATCTCAACTCACTGCAACCTCTGCCTCCTGGGTTCTGCAGTTCTCCTACCTGGACCTTAGGCACGCGCCACCACGCCCAGCTAATTTTTATATTTTTAGTAGAGATGGGGTATCACCGTGTTGTCCAGGCTGGTCTCGAACTGACCTCAAGTGATCCATCCACCTCAATCTCCCAAAGTGCTGGGATTACAGGCATGAGCCACCACGCCCGTCCCCCTTGTGGATTTTGAATGACTTCATATATTCAATATTTCTTCATACTCAATTTTTCAGATTCATATCCTCTGTGGGGTGAGGCAAGCCTGTCTATTTGGGGACTATGCTGGGATTCAAGGGAATTCAGAGCAAGCCCACCGATCATTTGCGGGAATAAACGTTTTCCACTTCTGAATTACCACAATGAGTTTCTTACTTTTTTGAGTGAAGTAACCTTTCATTTTCTGCAACCAATTAAAACTGCCTTTTCAATTGATATTTAGTTTTCACTCCCTAACATGAACAACTATGAGAGTGGGAAGGGTTATATTAAAATGTTCGGCTCTTTTGGGAAGACTTTCAGTTTGATTAGCACACTGATGGTTTATTTTTAAATTTGTGCTATTTTGCTCATTGTTTCATTTTATTTACACCAGTGACAGCTGCAGTCAGAACTACAGTTGCTGATCCTCCAAGATGGCTGTTTGGTGAGCAGGGTCATTCACAAAGTCTTTGGTTACATATTTGGGTGTTTAGGATACATACACACCATGATGGACTTTAGAAAAAGGAGGTAGGCCAGGTACAGTGGCCCAAGCCTGTAATCCCAGCACTGTTAGGGGCAGGTCTTTGTTCATAGAGCTCCCAAGATGGTGGTGGGCCACTCGCAAGATGGCGCGGGCCACTCCCAAGATGGTGGCAAGCCTTTTGTTTTCTCAGCTGGGGTTCTTGGCCTCACGGATTCCAAGGAATGCAACCTTGGGCCGTGCGCTGAGTGTTATAGCTCTATTAGAAGCTGTGGGTCTAGTGTTCAGCTTGATTAGGACGAATCTGGGCACTTGGCCCTGCAGGAACAGTGGCGAGCCTTTAGCCCCATCGGAGGGGCAATGGGCGCCTCGCTGGATCAGGAGCATAGCGGACACCCTGCCGGATCCGGAGGGGTTGAAGTCAATGGCCGGTCTGCAATGGCGGCAAACAGCAGTGATGGACCGCCGGGCTTGAGCCATAACAAACACGGACCAGAAGAGTGTGCAGCTGCAAGATTTAAGAGTGAAAACAGAGCTCCCATACAATGGGAGGGGACCCAAAGGGGGTTGCCTGATGTGGCTCAAATGCCTGGGTTTATATCCTGATCATTGTCCCCTCCTCGTGCTCTTAGGCGATATATGATTTGACTATTTATTTATCTCCTGCTTTTAGCCTAATTTGTATTTTAGTGAGCCCTCTTTACTACCTGATTGGTCGGGTGTGAGCTGAGTTACTAGCCCTGTGTTTAAAGGTGGGTGAGGTCACCTTCCCCAGCTAGACTTAGGAATTCCTAGCCTAGGAAATCCAGCTAGTCCTGTCTCTCAGCACTTTGGGAAGCTCAGGCAGGCAGATTACTTGAGGCCATGAGTTGGAGACCAGCTGGGTTAATTAACATGGTGAAACCCTGTCTCTAAAAAACACAAAAATTAGCTGGGTATGGTGGCATGTACTTGTGGTCCCATCTACTTGGGAGGCTGAGGCTGGAGGATCACTTGAGCCTGGGAGGTTGAGGCCCCAATGAGCCGAGATCATACCACTGCACTCCAGCCTGGGCAATAGACCCTGTATCAGAAAAAGAAAAGAAAAAGGAGGTAGCATTTTTTGAACCCTAGGAAACAATCCAAATCTCAACTTATCTCTGTTAACTTTTTTTTTTTTTTGGAGATGGAGTCTCACTATGTTGGCCAGCCTGGGATCCACTATCCCGATCTCGGCTCACTGCAACCTCCGCCTCCCGGGTTCAAGCAATTCTCCTGCCTCAGCCTCCCAAGTAGCTGAGACTACAGGCATGCACCACCACGTCCTGCTAAGTTTTGTATTTTTAGTAGAGACGGGGGTTTACAATATTGGTCAGGCTGGTCTCGAACTCCTGACCTCGTGATCTGCCTGCCTCGGCCTCCCAAAGTGCTGGGATTACAGGTGTGAGTCACCATGCCTGGCCATCTCTGTTAACTTTTAGAGATATACTTTGTTTACATATTCAAAAACATAAAATTAAACATTTTTAGAGAATGATCTTTGATGTATGTATTATACCAGAAAAGACACCACCATAAAGGTTAATATTTTAACATAATTGAGTTACCTCACTTGAATCTGAGTGTTCTTGGAGAAACCTGAAGTCACCTCTTACGACCAATACGATTTGTGTCCCTCCTCACTAAACAGATATTGAATGTTTATCGTTTCTAAGTAGTTTTTTTATGTATGTGTACCAGTTTATAATAAAGGATACAGATGAAGAGATGTGTAGGGTAAGGCATGGGAGAAGGGGCGAGGGGCTTCCATCCTCTCCCTGGGCACACTACTTTTCAGAAACCTTCATGGCTTCAGCTATCCAGAGGCTCCCTGAACTCAGTTCTCTTGGATTTGTTTTGCTGAGGAGAGTCTGGCTCTGTCACCCAGGCTGGAGTGCAGTGGCTCGATCTCAGCTCACTGCAACCTCCACCTCCCGGGTTCAAGGAATTCTCCTGCCTCAGCCTCAGGCATGAGCCACCATGCCCAGCTTTTTGTTGTTGTTGTTATTTTTGGTAGATACGGGGTTTCACCATGTTGGCCAGGCTGGTCTCAAACTCCTGCGCTCCAGTGAGCTGTCCGTCTTGGCCTCCCACAGTGCTGGGATTATAGGTGTGAGCCACTGCACCTGGCCCTCTTGTGTTTTTATGGAAGTTTCCTTATTCAGCATTCCTTCCCCAGGGTATAGGGCGGGACTCTCTCTGGGGAGGGTCTGAAGACCCACAATCAGAAAAGTAGGCGAGGTTAGAGTCCTGCCTTGGGGCAGGTGAACAGAGGGCAGGAGAAACATTCTGTTTCCTGAGGCCTTACCCAACATAACAAAAGACTGTAATGGGGCTATGGTAGTTAGGAACCAGGAACTGGATGCAAACTGATTCGTATCATGACACCATAGGCCACCTCTAGTTTTCAACCATGGATCCCTTACAGCAAAACAAATATACACAATCTTTAATCATTACTTTAGTCCATCATATTGTGTGACTGTCTCCCAGGCAGAGGTCACTCAAGTTTGCAAGCTTCCTTTTAATCTTGTCAGACTCCAAAAGCAAGAGTGGTCTTGGCAGGCACACTGCTTCGCCCTTTCAGGCACCTGGGATCATCGAGCTAAGAGACAGCTCTGAACCTCTTTAGAGTCATCATTAATATGATATTGGATTTTCCTCAATTTATAACCCACTTTTAAATTTATTCTTGGCTATTCCTCCTATTTTCCATTTGTCATTTAATTTTACCCCAATTTTTCCACTTTTGGAAGGACATTAGTTTTGGCCACTGTGCTGATTCATGTCACTGGTAGCAGTACCTGTCTAGCGAGTGCCTCCCCTTCAGTCCATGCCCGTTCCTAGAAGGAAAGGTCACATAGATTCTGAACTAGTGAGCCCTTTTTTTTTTTTTTTTCTTGAGACAGAGTATCACTCACTCTGTCACCCAGGCTGGAGTGCAATGGTATGATCTCAGCTCACTGCAACCTATGCCTCCCAGGTTCAAGTGATTCTCCTGCCTCAGCCTCACGAGTAGCTGGGACTACAGGAACACACCACCATGCCCGGTTAATTTTTGTATTTTTTAAGTAGACACGGGGTTTTATCATGTTGGCCAGGCTGGTCTCGAACTCTTGACCTCAGGTGATCAACCCACCTCAGCCTCCCAAAGTACTGGGATTACAGGCCTGAGCCACCGTGCCCAGCCTATATTTATTCTTAATCCCAATTTTTCCAGATGGGGTGAAGGCACAACCAACCCCTCATCAGGCCCGTAGGAATTCTGACGAAGTTTAAAAACATAGTGACAGTTTCCTGCTTAGAAATCATTCCTGCTTCCAGCACTTGTAGTTATAGCCCTGGTCCTAGGACCACTGCATTAGGTCATAGAGAGAAGAAACATTTTTTGAGGTGATTTTGAAACCACCTTTGCAAAACTGTAACTGAGACAATGAAAGAGCTCTAACCTAACCAACTCTATCTTGCTTCTAACCTCCAAGCTGTCCTTGTTTATTCTTGGGCATAGGCTGAACTAACTTTGGGAAGAACTTAGTTTATAGGTTATAGTTTAAAACAAAGAGGAGGCCAGGCATGGTGGCTCACACCTGTAATCCCAGCACTTTGGGAGGTGGAGGCGGGTGGAACAACTGAGGTGGGGATTTCGAGACCAGCATGGCCAACATGGTGAACTCCTGTCTCTACTAAAATACAAAAATTAGCAGGGCATGGTGGTGGATACCTGTAATCCCAGCTACCCGGGAGGCTGAGGCAGGAGAATCGCTTGAACCCAGGAGGTGGAGGTTGCAGTGAGCCAAGATCATGCCATTGCATCCAACCTGGGTGACAGAATAAGACTTTGTCTCAAAAAATAAAAATAAATACATAAATAAAATATGATAGCAGCCCTTTCCCCAAAAGAAACCTCCTTGCCTGGAGACTGAACTACTAACATCAGCCACAAGATTAGAAATTATGGTTTAGGAGTCATGCAGCTGGAGGCTACAACATTCTGACCCTTTCTAAGCTGCTCCTATGATCAGTGCTTGAGATATTTTGCAGACCCTGTACTTGATGGATCAGCTGGCACCACCCAGATTGACTAACTGGTTCATCTGATCTGTGGCCCTCACCCAGGA